TGGGGGGGGCCGCCCCATCTCCTGCCAATCATTAAATGAATCAATCAGTTTCATATATAAGGCGGGGTTCGAAAAATGGATTTCCTGCTCTTTTTTTGTTTTTCTGTAATTTGTTTGTTTTGTGATTGATTGATTGATTGATCGATTGTTAGGGGGGATACCAAGCAATGAATCAATGAATGAATGAATCAATCAATCAATCAATAAAAAATAAAAATTTCACAAGGCCGGGTTCGAATGCGGGTTTTCCGAGTTTTTTTTATTTTTTTTTTATTTTTTTATTGATTGATTGATTGGTAGGGGGGAGTGGGGAAGTTGGGATTGGGGTAGGGGGGGCGTGGGGAAGTCGAGATAGGGCGGCGTAGACTCGGGATACGGTGAGGAGGGGAGTCGGAATACGGATGGGGAAAGTCGAGATAGCGGGAGGGGGGGGTCGGAAGTCGGGACGGGGTGGGGGGAACTCGGGGGAGGTGCTAAAGTCGGTATACGGGAGGGGGGGATGACGGGATAGGGCGGGAAGCCGGGATACGGGGAGGAGGGAAGTCGGGATAGGGATGGGGAAGTGAGGATACTATTTTTTTTTTATTATTATTATTATTTTTTTTTGTGCGACCCATCCCCCACCAATCAATCAATCAATCAACCAACCAATCAATCAATCAATCAATCAATCAATCAATCAATCAATCAATCAATCAATCAATCAATCAGTCAATCAATGAACCAATCAATCGAACAACCAATCAATCAACCAACCAATCAATCAATCAATCAATCAATCAATCAATCAATCAATCAATCAATCAATCAATCAATCAATCAATCAATCAATCAATCGGGGTATAACGCTGACTTCAAACGGGGGTTGAACGGGAGTTGAACCGTTCACTTTCAAACCCCCGTTGAATCAGATATCGGACACACAGACTCTGTGTGTCTGACTGTGTGTGCTCTCTCTCTCTCTCTCTCTCTCTCTCTCTCTCTCTCTCTCTCTCTCTCCAAAAAAGATAAATATTAAAAAATAAAATAAAATACATTGATTAAATCAATCAATCATTCTATCAATGCAATGATTACATTGATTGATTGATTAATTGATCGGACTATGACTGTGTGTGTGACTGTGTCTGTGTGACACTGTCTAGGTCACTGTGTGTGTTGGTGTGCTCTCTCTCTCTCTGTATGTATCTATCTCAAAGTCTCTCTCTCTCTCTCCAAAAACAAAAAATTAAACATTTTAATCAATCAATCAATCAATCATTCAATCATTCAATCTATCCAATGAATAGATTGATTGAAAGATTGATTGATTGATTGATTGAATGATTCCTTGAGTGTGTGTGCGACTGTGTCTGTGTGACTCTGTGTGTCTGACTGTGTATGTGTGTGTGCTCTCTCTCTCTCTCTCTCTTTCTCTCTCTGTGTCTCTCTCTCTCTCTGTGCAATATGAAAAACAACAAACATTTCATCAATCAATCAATCAATCAAATACTCAATCAGTCAATCAATCAATCAATCAATTAATCAATCAATCATTCAATCATTCAATCATTCAATCAATCAGTCAATCCAATCAATACATTGATTGAATCATTGGTTGGTTGATTGATTGATTGATTGATTGATTGATTGAT